CCACGACCATCAGTTGGCTATTCGCGGGTTTGGTTGTTTACCACTAACGGTTGGCCTCCCGGGCCAGTTCCGTCTCCTGTTAGGTCTCCAATGTCGATCTTTCTACCTTTATCACCCTTACTTCCCTGCGTTGGGCTCGTCATTAGTCCCTGAGTTTTTCGCGTCGGGGTTAGGGTTGCCCTAGGCGCATGTAATGTATTCTTTGGTGTGACCATGGGCTCCGACCACCACGGCGGCGGTCTTATCCCAAACCCAAGCCTCATGCATCTCTTTTGTTAAATTCTTCTTCAGGTTATCCGTCATCATTCCTAATAACGGATGTTAGTGAGATTTTAGAGAAACAAATCAGCTGCATATTCCGAGTAGAAGCTGAATTTGTCCCCACAGATGACGCCAATTTGTTATGTCACGAATTCACGAACCGCTCAACTGCTTCTCTCCTAACTGGGTTATTTCTTCTCGATAGCCGGTACCTGCAAAACACGTCGGGGGTGGTCCTGGGGTGAACACTCTGTTGGGTTCTATTAGGAACGTCGGCAATGTGCACATTCAAATCTATTGAATAATAAATCCTATAGCAGCGGAATATATAGTTAGGATTAAGATTTACGGTTTAAAAGTTTTGCCGACTCTGAGACGTTTCTGATTTCCGTTGATGGAGATCGTCTGAACACCAAAGTCCAATGGGCAGCTGGACTTGACCTTTCTCGATTCTAATCATGTCATGAAGGTGCTCCAATCGCTCATCAAGCTCATCGGATCGTCTCGGACCTTCGATAATTGAGTTGGACTCCTCAGGCCGCTCGGAAACCATCCCGGGCACGAACCAGGCTTACTGGGTCGGGCTGAACCACGTCGGACCAGTCTGGACCGGGTCTGGTCGGGTCTAGGCCGAACTGGGCTGGTTCGGGTCGGGTCTGGTCACTGGGCACGGGGACTGGTCCGTTGGCCATGGGTTGCACACACACTGGGCTGCTGGTGCACGATGCTGGGCGCAGATGCACGCGTACATGCGCAGA